ATATCGGCCGACCGCAATTCGCGAAGTGACCATAGAATTCGTTCGTATCACCTCAGCAATTTTATTGTTTTTGTACATTTTTTTCGCCGTTCTTTCACTCCGCGCGCGCGCGTCCATTCGGAATGTTTGCGTGAAATCGTCGCTTTTCTCTCCGTCATACGAGCAATATATACATACGTGTGTACGTACAGCAATCATCACCGAGGAGAAGGTACGCCCGCAGTGAACGTGCATTTGTCACGCGTGTCCCATATGAATACCTAACCATAATAATACCAGTGATCCGTATGCCTCTTTGGATTTCGTACTTCAAAATAATCGTTAATGCTCACCTCACGATATGATGATGCCGTACACCTCGGAGATCGATCAGAGTGGATTGAATTCGACTAAAAAAAAAAAATCGAAGCTGCAACATTATAAAATATCGCCCAAAAGACGTTCGTTTATTTTAAGAGACTGTTTTGTTGTTGTAAGCAATTCTAATCAATTCCATAACGGATAACGGGCCGAGTCGTCACAACACTGCTTGGGAAATGATCCTAAACAAATATTCACTAAAAAACATTAACATGATTTTCTCGGAAGTCTTTGATAGTTTGTCATGAAACCCTTTTACATTACGTGTTCAACATTATAAGTATTTTTTAAACGATTACTACACTCGACTTATACTACTGCGCATCACGGAGACATTATACATTCTTTTCGTTTATCTCTTTATTTTGAAACCGTCCAATGTAATTGTTTATTAGCACGTTGAGCGAAAATTGTATTAACTCGAGAACTCATTTGTTCGTTTTGAATAATCTAATGAACCTTTACATAAATACTTAACCTTAGGCTTGGCGTGTCAAATTTTTAAATGAAATGCTTTAGTTATTATCATTTTTTACAATAAAAATTAATTGAACTGCGCGTCAATAAATTATTATTCAATTTATCGAAAATAATTATTGGAAAACATTGTCAGGCTAAATTGTTTGACTTGGCCATTACGAATCAAAATGTCCTAGTTGTAAAACATTTACACGAAACGAAGCCTGTAGATTAACGATGTCTGCTCAGCTAGTTGTCAATAAATTGTTTAATTGAGTGCGTATTTCATTAACGGGTCAGACGAGCCACGCAAATGAATTAACCATAGACATCAACACGTGCGCCTCTAGATCCAACAACTTATGTCAAAACTTTCTTAGATTATTGTTTACAGCGCTACAACAAACTAATTAATTTTATTGGAAATACATTATTATAGCCATTTATTAATTATTATTTAATCAACAGGCTGGTTTATGTGTCAAGCAAATTGGAGGCACTTAGAAATTATAAAACGATAATATCAAGTTTTTTTTTTACATTATTTATGAGCTAATAAAAGTTGAGTTGTTCGCTTTACTATTTGTCTTTTTCCCATTAATTTTTTTAACGAAACAGAAAATATATTTAATATGCCTAATAATCATTTATCAGAAATTTATAAAATAATAATCAAACTGATTGTCTCGAAAAAAAATGTTGGACAATGTAATGCTTCTATGCAAAATGTATTATCTCAACGAATGTCAATATTGACTTACATGTTGTATAATTTCGATAGAACTTAAATATTTACATATTATCTTTACCAAAGTTAGTTTAGAATATAAATGTTGCAATCTTAATTTCTATGCATTTCATCTTTGATAATTAAAATAAAAATTATAATATAATGTTTTAGTACAATCTGTTCTTCTAGATCAGAGCCTATTATTTTAATGTACTCTTATATTATTTTACTAGTAATAATTGCTCTAAAAAACATTTTTATGTCAAATTCACACTACTGAATAATAGTATATATACATATACTAATAAGTGTATTATTAATTATTTTGATTGAGTTGTTAGGTTGCTTTAAGTATTAAACAAACAAAAGATTATTAGAAGATATCATAATTTTTGTATTACACATACGTTTTAACCTAATCTATTTTATTTGTTTTAATTATTTCTTAATAAATGTTAATTAGTTTGCTTTAAATATTTTACCTATTTATGACTAAATTAAAAAATTAATTTATACTTTTTAATTATCTTTTGTTTAGAAACATTTAAAATAAAAATGAAATTTATTTTTACTATAAAAAAAAGAAAAGCTTCAGCAGTGTAAAACGATTCATTTAATTAAATCACGTTTTTCTTTTTTGAATGTTTAATGATTTTTTTAAGAAAATAACTAATATAATTATAGTTAATATTATAAATTATTAATTATTTCAAACGCATAAGTATTTTTAACTCATCTTTACAGATTACTAATTATAAAAAAAATGATTTCTTAAGTTTCTCCAAGTGTAATAGAATGACTATATCAGGTATATTAAATTTATAGTAATATTATTAGATTATAATAATAACCAGTAGTTATATTAAACGTATAGTGGTTGAAATATTCACAATTATTTTTGAGGTTAAGAAAAATAATTATTACTCTATAGTAATAATATAAACTCTGAAAAATACGTATGTGTTTATGACCTTGGAATGTGATTATGTTAAATGGTTCAGATGACAGAATGCAACTAGATACAAACTAAGTATTCAGTATTTAAAAATATTGTGGTCATGGCATCGACTTGAATTTAGTGATAAAATAATGTGGCCTACGGAATCGATTAGAACAACTATTGTCAACAAAATCATAAATAGTTCGTCATAGTATATTTTATTAACTAATGTTTAATTTTGAACGTATACAAAATCATAAAGAAGTTATATATAATATACTATATTGACTTTTTATTGTTTTATTGCACTTGTAAAAAATAAAATATGACATCACTTTTTCGCGCATTTAATATTTATAATACGATATACGTTCACACCCTATGGGAGTCGTCATACGATCACAATGACAAAGTGTCCACTGGTAATTCAAATACATTATACATTACGCTACGTAAACTCCTAAGAATATTAACAGTTTTAGCTTCCAACTCAACTTGACCGTGAAGCGAAATTCGAAAGGTTTAATTAATTCTCACATTTAATTTACATTCGTTTGATTGTCTCTCTAAATATTTTTTTCCTCGCTTTCCAATCGAAAGACAAGATTTGATTTTAGAAAACTTGTTGTATATTAATTAAGAGTATCGGATGAAATTTTTCTCGTAATTACAGGTGTGTTGATAGTTTTATCGATAGCAATGATTATGATAGGGTGTTGATTCTTACATTATATTTAATGATAAATCTTAAATTACACTTGCTTTTATTACAAAATTCGATATTCCTATATTATATAGTTTCACAACCTTGACTTAAATACTTGTTTTCATAAAAAATACATAAAATTTAACGCCTCGACCCTTAAATTACATCAATTAAGTAAAAAAAAAAAATACACATCTTTCATTAGTTATTAATTTTTTTTTTATGACAACGAAAAATTATTTAAAAATTTATCACTATATGAAGACTTTTAAAATTTTATAATAGTCCGTTCTTTTAAATATTTTATTATCATTCATTCTATTAATGAATTATCAAAAAAATATATGTATGGTGACTTCACTAATAAATGAACATTTAAGTGTTTTTCATATTTTAAATTTATTTTATAACTTCTACACTTATAAAAATTAAATACTACACTCATGAAATTAATAAATATTTTTCCTATGAACAAATTTCTGTAATTATAATATAAAAATATGTATTATTAACTAATAAAAATTAGAATTATTTTGCTTTAAAATTTTTTAATTTCCAGTGAATAAATAGTTAATGTTATTAACTATTATAATGTTATGAATAGTTAATGATAATACATATCACAATTTTTCAAATTCTACAATATATTTATCAATCTATAATACGTTTTATTCAACATTATTGGTTTTATTAGTTTCCAGTATAAATAATGAATTGTTAAATTAACAATTAAGAAATAGTTTAGTAATATTTAATAAGAAATTTAATAGTCAAATTATGTATTAAAGTCTTAGATATTATTTTGTCAATGATACTTTATTTTAACTTTAACCATATGAGAATTAAACTGTTAATTATTATCCGTCATATAAAAGCAAAAAAAGATTTTAGCAAACAATAAATCTTATATTAGACGTAATGTAAAAAATAATTGTCATTATCATTAATTATATCTCGTAAATGTACATGAAGCTTGAAATAATCATAAAATATTGCGTAGATTCTCCTCTTGGTCGTTTATACATATGTTGTTATACGATTACAAAAATGAATCGTGTGCAAGTATACCACACAGCCTTGGAACATAACCACGGTTACCTTTTTATATAATGCGGATCATATATCTTTAGTGTCCAAATCATATATCGAAAAAAATTTAATAATTTTATGGTAACAACGATAAAAATTTGAGATCACGTCAATAACTCTTCAAATCATATTTGCTATAGAACATTAATATAGTAAATACTTTTTATTTCACACAATTAAAAAAAAATTAACAAAACTAAATATTAAACTTGCTATTTGTAGAATTTTATAGGTAGTTAATTATAATACTTATTTCTTATGAAAGTTCGTTTTATTTATTAACAAATTAAATCATATAATTAAAATTTAATTTTAAAAATAACTTCAACGAATGTTTCAAATCAAAAAAATATTGTATAAATAAATAAAATTTTGCCAAAAATTAATATTTTATTAAAAAAACCAATATATTAAATTTTTAAACAAAATATATACCACTCTGAACACACTTATTGCTATTGTTTAGTCTATAAAGAAACATATTGAACGTGACTCATTAGATTGTGCGTCGTCTACCAGTCAGATGTACATAAAGTTAAATTGAAATTGAATAAATTTATTCACATGTATGTATAAATATGTATATGTGTATGAATATGTAGGTTGGATATAGATGTGCAAATTGTAAATTTGTTCTTAAAACTAGAATCAACCATATTGTACTATTAATACATTTTTTTTTTTTAATATTTAGCTAATTTAGCTGTGTATTTTGCAGGAAATCAAACGCAGCAATGGCTTCTCAAGAGATCACCATCAACCCTTTTGATCCTTATAGAGAAATGGAAAAATATTTGGAAAAAGTTAATGTAAGAACTTTTTTAAAAATAAAAAATTAAATTAATACATTTTATGAAAAATTTAAATACAAGATAATTCATTATCATGAACCACTAAATAACAAATAATAAAAATAATATTAATATTTTTTTCGTTTAGTTCCATGTTTTTTTAATTATTATTCAATTTATATTAATTTTGCATATTCAACTAGTTTAAATAATATAAAATTATTTCATTAAGATAATAACTGGGTGGATAATGTATTTTGAAACAGTATTTCAGAAGTTATTAACATTTTATAGTTTTAACTGGAAGTGAGACGCGAGTGCTGTTATTCATCGCGAGTATAAAAATGTTAATCATTATTTTAAAAAATTTTGAAATTTCTGAAATTATTCAATGAATAAACAAGTTTATTATGTATGTTGTCACTTGAAAAATTAATGCTGACACCCTTGTATAAAGTATACAAAAATAAAATAAATAATATTTCATGATTGATAAATTAAAAAGACACGGAACTAAAAGCAACTAATAAAACAATTTTGTTTTAGTTCCTAAAGTTTTAAATTGATGAAAAGATTTATTTATAGTTATAAATAATTTTCGTAGATTTAATGATGATTAAATATTTGTAAATATAAATCTTCTTTTGTAATTAAAATTTTAATTGGAATTATTCATGAATATATTTTCTCGGTCATTTTTTATATATAGAATTTACATTACAAGTATTAATTATATTTCAATCAAGGAAAGGCTATTATATAAACATTTTAATTTAAAATAAGTCACAAGATCGTTAATACTAATTCCATGATGAGACAACAACAAAGAAAGATATATAAAAAAAAGTGAACTCTACTTTATCTCTTTTTTTATAGAAAAATAGACTAGTAACTGTTCTGTAAAGAATATTTATGTTGTTTTGATATATAACTTTTTCAATTTTTAGACAGCAACTAGTAAAATTTTAAAATTAAATGCGCCTTAAAATAGGAGATATTGCAATATAAATAACATAAATATTTACGTGTCTGTATAGTTGTCTACCATATTAAATCAAGTGTAATAATTTTTGTGCATATAAAGTTGACTGTCTAATATTTTTGAGGAGTAAAATTTTATTTTAACAATGTGAAAATATAATATCTTTTACTAGTGTTTTGATAATCCTAGTTAAAGATATTTTAGTATATCTACACAAATTTATTAAAAAGTGAATAAATTATATTGATCACTTATTTTTTCTTCCCAAAAAATTAATTAATTGTTAAAACATACATTAATATCAACATATTTATGAGATCACCTAAATCAATAAAATCTTAGAAAGTTCGATAAAAATCCAGTTTTTTGCGTACTTATCAAGCTCAAAGTCAAAAATTACCATTGATTACTCATGTTCTGTTGTACCGAGCTTCAAAAATATAATGTGATATTACCTTAATGTTTCATTTGTAGGAAATATCAATCTGATATTGTAATTCAGCATATAAACTAAATCAATTTTCAGTACTAATGCCTTAAAATACCATTTATTAAAAATAATTAAATTAAATTCTATTAATTTTTATGGTCATGAGATACTTTTTGAAAACATAAAAAATTATTATTGATAAAAACTATTTTTCTTAAAATTTTGCCCATCATACTAGCTTTGTTTTAAGTAATAAATTTACTTTAAGATTTATGTTAAAAGTTGACAACTTCTATAATATAAAAAAAATTACAAAATAAAAACTGAAATAAATGATGAATTGGTTAAGGAAAACTATTAAGCTGACTTATAATTTATTAACCACAATAAATAAATTAATAATGCAAATAATGAACATAATATTGAAATAAATATAAGTTATTATACAGTTACATAAAACCTGTGGTAAATAAATATCTTTTATTATTAAATTATATTTATTAATAGTTTTAATATTAATTCATATTATTAAATTTAATGTAAATGACAGTACAAAAGTTAAAACAATAGAGTCTTAATCATTAAACAATTTTTATATCGTTTTATTAAAAAAATAAAGAATATAGAATGTATTTTAATAAGTATATAATTTAGTGGTGATAACTTTTATATTTTAATGCAAATTTAGACAATATCTGAAGATATAGTCTTTAGATATTGTGATTTTTTTTTAGACGTTTAGAATTCGGAAGTCTCAAACCTTTAGATGAGTTTTCCTTGATTGGAAACAACTTTTATACATTATAAATTCTAATAGGATTATTTTGAAAATATTAACCATACAGTAAGATGTTTTTTTAATTTCAATTTTTAAATCTCAAGGGATTATATTACAAAGAACTAACTATATCACATTGACAAAAATCTTTAGTAGGATTTCGAAGATACCCTTAACGTTTTATTTATATTTATTGTCCAAATTAGGAATAATATAAAATCGCATCAAATCGTATTATTTTAGTTTATTAGAATTTAATATTTATACCAATAATTTAGAGGACTGAACATTAATTATAAAAGTTCATATGCCGTTGAAAATTGTATAAGCAAAAAATTGTAAGTTAATAAACAAAAAAAAAAGTAATACGTTTTTAGAGCATTATATGACATATTTCTACATCAAAAATTATCTTTAGTTACACCACTAAATTTTTATACAATTATATTTTGGACTAAATTAAAAAGTAAAATTATATTTTTTTAATGAATCGTTGTAATCGGTGATTTTAATATAAGTATAAATCATCTGATCTTAAGAATTAAACTTTGAATATGCAGTTCTGTTAAAATAGTGAATTAAGAATCTAGAAGAATCTTGTAAAAAGAAAAAAAATTAATATACTTTAAATCTTTATTTTCAGAACAGTTATTCTACTTTAATAAAGAGTAAAACTATTTTTAGAAGTTCTCAATAAATAAACTAACCTATTAAAATAGGATCCACGGTTCTAAATACGTTTTTTTATTTTTATCATTTGATAACATAGAAAAACAAGCTAAGTTCGATGCATTTATAAATTAATAAAAACTAATAGACCAACAATAATCAAATTTAAACGACCAAAACTACATCTATGACACTAAATCACGACCGCAAAGTTGCGCATATTTCATGACAATTATTACATTAATGTTGGTTATCAAAAATATCTAACAGTAAGTTCGTACTATGGTACAGATTTATTGCGTTGAAAACTGTAATTGATATTATAGCAAACGATCATTAAGTAGATAGTTTTCCCTTATTGTTTTTTCATTTATAAATTGAATGTAATCGTAACAATGTCAAAATGATAATTTATAGTCCTAGCAAAGCAAAAAGAACTTTTCGAAAAAGTGGTGTTACTTAAATAGCCTATAGGACAACTTTTTTTTTTTTATTGGGACTACGAAAATTATAACGTAGGTAATGCATTAGACTTCAAAATTGTTTGAGAAAGCGTAAGTTTCATGATGCCGGTATTGTTGTAGGCTTAACACAATTTAGTGTAAAACTAGGTCGAATTTCATAACGTTCGACTGTCTTGAAACACTTATCATTTATCATCTTCTTCGGGGCCCATTAATAAGTTAATTAAAATTACTTTTACTTGAATTGGTAGTCGAATTTTCTGACGCCCCCGCATACGTCTAATGGTACGTACCGGTGTTCCTTTTTGTATTTCTCGATTTCCTAGTAACTCGAAGACAGTGCAAATTGGCGACGGTTAGAAAAAGTATGAAAACCGGCAAATGTGCCAATTGTGAGGCTCTATGACGTTCGGAGCAGACAAGGCCGGACTTTACTGTATACACATATAACACACGTAGGCCTCGCCGTATACCGACTCGCCAACTCACCGATATGGTCATACGACTTCCCACTGTAAAACGAGGACCGCAACAGCGGTTACCAAACTAGTGTTCATTAAGCTTATTGGTAGCTCATTGACTAATCTAGGCTTTCCCTAAAATGTTAAATGAAAATTCATTATTAACTAAGACAGTCAAGTATTGTTTCGTTGTGGTCAGTGAGGCGCCAATAGTCTACCTATTAATTACGGGCACTACTTAGGACTATATTTTGGGATCTCCTGGTTACATTGCATTTGATTAATACTAATAACGATAATATGTCGTGTAAGTACTTTAGTATTTCGAATCCGGTCGTACGACACTGATCTCTATTCGGTCGGTGCGCTTGTGTCAGTCCGCTGGTTCGTTAGCTTATCTCAAACACAAAATTATAATTGCAAACATAGTTAAAATACATGATTGTAGCGTTACAATTAAGTTATTAATCCGTTATGGATGTATATTTTTAGGAAGAACTCGATGAAGTGTTCAATCAATGGTCTAAGAAACCTGCGGATAAGCCCGGAAAACTTGTGGCCAACTGGCCACCGATTCAAGCCGATGTCAAGAGCTACTGCAGTCCGAGGTACTTGGCAAACGATTTCAAAAGCCTGTATGACGACGTGATATTAGAATTACAGATACCCGAACAAATCGTTTGTCAAGCATGCAGTGAATTAACCAGTAAGTAAATTTCAAAACATTCTAAAACAATGAAATTAACCGTTTTCTGAAATAGTCATAATGACATTGAACAACAATCAATTATTTCAAATCGTTGGAATTCGTATGTCCATAGGCATATCGCGTTATACTTTGGAACCGATGAAATATGTAATGATTATTACTATTTAAACGGTTTACGACAAATATAATATCATTTTATGGTAGCACAAGGTTATCGGAATTGAAAAATTTAAATAGCTAATCAAATTGCATGGTTCAACTACGACAGTCCCATGGCAATTATACTAATGTTTACGGTGTTTTTTAGATGGTAGTATTGATTCTGGAGACAGTTGTAGTCGTTCGTCAAATAACATGCGTTACCGCCTATCGTCAACTAAGCGAAAACGGTCGAGGTCTAGATCTTCGGACTACGGTAACCTCCAACATGAACTACCTGGATGTTACAACGACAAGTCGGCTGTTCTTCTTAAAGTTCAAATGTTTGAAACGCCACCGCCACCAGTTCGCAGTTCGTCTCTTAATCGTTTCCAGACCATAATATCACAACAGAGAAAACAGGTCAGTATTACATCTTATGTACAAATTATTCAACGTGGTATTAATAATTTGACTGTTACAATGTGTATCATATAACCGTGTTTTAGAATTGTTTTTTTATTTAACAGTTTGAACGGAAGGAGTGCGATGAAGCTCCAATGGAAGCTACTGCACAGACATCACCTACCGAGAGCAGATCTTCTAGTTTTACGTGGTTATCTGATCGATCGGAACCGAGTAATTGTTCTTCAGCCGAGGAGGAAATCCAGACGCCGTGCAGTTCGACTGATGATTCCGTTGTCGATCAACATATCAGTTGTGGATCTTCGACAGCATCATCTTCCGTGTCACCACCCGGTCGTTCCGACGAACCCGAATCCGGTATAGGAACGGCTTCGCCACCACATCATCGATATTCAAAGTGTAAATTTTTAATATACTCTTAGAGCATTATGTATCCACATAGTTTTAATACGTTCTTTTGAAAGTTGCTGTGCGAAAAAAATCGTTTTATTTGACTACTCACCATTAGAATGATTTATTGTTAATTATGTAGCACACCATGTGTAATTTTGGTGGTCAAGATTTACTACAAACGATTAGCGTCTCTCTTGCGGTCCCAAGAAGTCTTCATTGATCATTTCTTTGTAAAAACATAAAATAGAGACAATATGAGACTGCTAAATTCCTGAGGATTAATTTTCTACGCGAAAAAATTAATCTCAGGCGGTAGTAGAATATATAAGTTCTTGAAAATCTAATGTGAAGTTCAAACGGCTTCTGGGAAGAAAAACGATTTTTTATATTTAGACTCGCGCATCGCGATAATAATTGGCGTGAGATTTTAGTAGGTCATCGGCGGGACGACAATATGTTTATTTATTTTTTCATGGAGTCCCAATTCCAGGAATACTTTTCGAGCCAAATGTTCATTTAAATATTAGTATTAAGTAATATTACTAATTTTTAGAAAGACATTTGCGTCAGAAGCGATCGCGGCCAATGCACATTTTTGTAGACCACTTTTCGTTTTATTTTTATATTATAATGTATAATATTTTATTTTTAATATACAACGACCGCTTTGGTATTTCTGTAGGACACTACGCGCGTTTTAATGTTGTATATTGAATTGGTGTCGATACGCTCAACTTACAACCCGTCAAAAATCGTAAACACTCTACAACATTGCACACTTCTCAGCATCGGTGTTTCCATCGAAAACTTGTTTTAAATTAGAGGGTGGGAGTTACGCTCCATAAAAACGACAAGAGTACTCTATGAACGCGTAAATAATATATCATTCGGCGTACCAAAAACTAAAATCTTATTATGATATACGAATGTTGTGCTAAACGCAGCACGATAGCTGTCCGTGTAGGATGAACCTTGATGAGCTGTAATATTATTCCTTAATATCATTAATATCATCGTTATATATGTGTGTGTGTGTGTTTAGCGGGAAACCAGAAATGTCGCAAGAAAGAGACGTGGGAGCGGTTGCAAAGACGACACGCGGATAGGTGTGCGGCGACCAAACGTGTGGAGCCTGTGTGGGTGACTGAAGATCAGCAGAGCGATTCCACGACCCAACCGGGTAACCGACCGGTGCGACCGAATCGATTGCCTTTGACCAGCGAATGTCAATCATCCGAAAAAGTCGCTTACGAACTGCCCAGCCCAACTGCCATATCTCTAAGCGGTGGTAGTGATCTATCTCCGGAATTGGCTTGTAAAAGCTCTTCTGCGCCCCACCTGATAAAACCGTGTTCGAAGACCCTTCCCAAGGGTAAATTCGATCCATCCTACACAGTAAGTAACGCATTATTGCCTTTATTTACTACTACTGATTATTAATTAATTTATTTATTTTAACAGAATCGGAAACAAATAAGATGTCAGTCGGATCGTTATTTGTCAGGTACGATGTTTTACATTTTTATGAAATAACACCGAAAAAATGTGAATTTTAGCAATTAATAAAAATCATATTGAACATTGGTATCAAACGGTGTTAGTTAAGAAACAAGCACTTTATTCCGATAGCGTATAAACGCACATGCTTATACTTACCTATTAGATAGGATCGCTAACGTATAGTACAAACGGTAAGATCCATTATTGTACTGTATACAAAACGGGTTCATCATATTAATCTCACGTTCTCGGGCCGGTAGCGCACATTACCTTAATACGTTTAATCGACTGTACCGGACAACGCTTATCTTCCTCGCAAAACGTTTCATTTTAAACACTTCAATGTGTTGTTTGCCTCGGTCTCGTTGTTTTTGTTGTTATTTCTCAGCGTAAAGTGCCGCGGATCTACAATACTGAAATTCTATTACGCGCTATTATGCTTTGGCTTTTATGTGGTATTGTTTTGCAAGGTCACAGTACAGTCGTGCTACGCGAGACATTAAACGCGACCACAATGGGCGAAACAGAGAAAAAATCGTAGTCGCACTTTCGGTCTAGGATCAAACCCTCGTAGAACCGCTTCTTTTCCGGTTTATGGCCCTTCTAGCGTTTTGTTAAATCGATTGGCCAAATGCGACGGGTTGTTGTAAAAATCGTCTAATATTCATTTTAAACTGAACACCAACTGTTATATAACGACAGGACATTTCGTTTATGTTTTCGTTGAACTGCGTCAATATCCAATTTTGCTTATGACTCCCAAGTCAACGTTGATATATATGATAATAGTTTTCACGTTGACTACGACTGTAAAATGGCAATTTTCCATGAACAATTTTTTTGTACACACAACAAACATCGTTTTTCGAATAAGACGCAAATCAATGTTTATTTACATAAACCTATATTAATTCGATATCAAACTGATAGTTTTAGTACAAGTGTTGATGGACGTTCAACTTGGAAGATATGCTGTGTTATTTTTCCCGTTTAAGCCGCCTTTGATTTCATTGTAATTGATTTTTACAAACAATATGACTCGTTGGTTTTCCTGTATTATTAGTCGATTTCTGGTAAATCTATTTTTTGATTTTTCAAAATTTTATTATCCGAGTATAAATATCTTATTGTTGTTTATTTTATGAGTCCAGACTAATAAAACGAATGTTTAAAATAAAACATTCATAGAATTTCTTTAACTAAAAAACAAAAAAAAAAATACAAATTGATACTAACAGCGATTTGTTTATCGCCGCTAATTTGAAGTGCCAGCGCAATTTTCAATAAAATCCATTTATTCGACGTTTCCATTACCGCTAAAAAAGCTAACCGCCCAAGTGTTATTGAACTGTGTACGAACTAATGAGTCAGTTTGCCGCCGATTGAGAATCTAGATTTGCTTGTAATATAGTTTTTTTTTTCATTGCAAAATAGTTTTTTATGGTTCAAACAAAAATATTAAAAATATTTTCTTAGAAATTGTCGTTGAAAGAACTATTTATTTACAAATTTGTTTATGTTTATTTATTTAACATCAGACAAGCAGAAATGTACATATACTAAATAGTTTATTATTAGCTATAAACGACGATAAATGATAAGTTATCATTAGACTATTGTATATTCATGAGCGTCGTTAAATATTGTCATTGTGCTTTGGGTAGTGGTTTAAGTCAATCTTTTGAATCATTTTTCGGATTCGGCGTACAGCACAAGCCGCAACTTCGCTACTGTGGTACGGCAGAGCGTTGATAAAGTTCGTTCTCGTGTCGGTAATAGTCAACCATATTAGTAGGTATACTGCGGTGTTATGATGTTTGCGCAGATCCGTGTTGTTTCTGATCCGTTTTGATTGTAATCATTTTTTCGTCAAAATATGTACTACTTAAATTCGTTTTTCCGTTATCAGTATTAAGTACTAACCGCTATTATGGAAGCTTTCGCCGACAAATTAAGCTACAAGTTTTTTCGCAGTTTTAGTGTGAAATTTGAAAGACCGTCGTGGACAGTCGGCCGGTCTGAGAAATTTTGGCGGAAATTAAGGGAAAACAAAATTGCAGGTCAGTCATCAAAGTTTATATTGGAGAGTTTTATATTTAAACTAATGGTTTTTGTTATGTAAAACTAATTTATTTTTGGGAATCAAAATATTTTCAGGTTTAATCATTAATTCATAGTTGTTCTTCAAATGATTGTTTTGTTTGGTAATCATTATTTTTTTGTAGATAAGGCTGCTATAAACAAAATAATGTCTTTATAATTATTTTCGATTTAAACGTAGGACTTTCATCTCTAAGATGTATCTCTTAAAATTATCACATGTTCGCCTTTGATAAAACAACAGTTAATAAAACTATGAATTTTATTGAAATGTCTCTTTTATCACTTTTCTGAAGTAATTAATTTTTAATTTATTTGAAAAATCTCTTTTTAGTAGGTAATTTAATGTGAATAAATTACTTGAAGTACGAACAATCGCTTAAATTACAAACGAACGTCGCCTACGCCACTCTGTATCACAAAACTTATGACATAATTGGTATATTATAATTGATTATTAAATACACATTCAGTATAAAATCTATAACTAAATAATTATATATAACTATCAAATGACCATACGTCAATGAATAACGAAAAAACTTTGCATTGAATAGTTTTTGGAATATTACCAATAACATCATAACTCTATTATAAATCGTTGAAACTAAACATAGATTATGCAAATAAGTTCATTAAAAGTTTTAATATAAAATACATGGTACTGTTTAAAATAAAATTTAACAATAACGCAAATTAAAACGATACTCAATATTTTCAACGCTGTCAAAAGGATAACGTTTCATTAACCAAATAAAAAATGAAAAAAGATGTGTTCCAAAATATGTTATTAAAGAGTTAATTGTACAATAAATATATGTACATTTTTTCATAATTATTATTCAATTATCTAAATTGTCATCTATAAATGAGTCGTCTATAAGCGACATCACAGTAATGTCATTAATCACGTAGTTTTTTCATAACTGACCCCTGATGATTTTTTAATCCTTCAATTTTAAATAATCTACTATTATAATTACATCGATCGAAACGCATAAAACAATGTACAATGTTATCACTATGATCTGGCTACATGTACGTTCATTTACTTAAAGCCAATTAATCCAATGAAATATGATTTTCTGCTTTTAATAATTATCCGATTTTAAAATCAGGTTGGGTTAAATGTAACTAAGTTTAAACGCAGTTACATTAAATGGTTAACTCGTCGAAATCATTTTTAAGTTATTTTTTAATATATATAAATATTACCGCCTCGTTAGCAATCGAATGAAATAGCTGTTCATGTGTCACGTGTGTATTATTTTGCGTGTTGTAATAAAAACAGTTACTTAACTGTTCTTAATTATTGTAACACAATTTATTTGTTTTTTTCTAATAAAAATCATAACAAATCGATTAAACATTGAAATTTCAATGTTATTGACATATTAATGTGTCAGTAACGTTAATAGATCGTGTAAAAAATAAAATATACGCTTTTAACAGAATAACAATCAACAGTACAGTAGTACAATATAGAAATATTCAATGTCGATTTTGATTGTTAAATAAAATGCAACCGATTTAATTCTTTCACCTAGTTAAAAAAATTACAATCTACCATCTGACTGCTGGTAAATAAAATTTTTATTTTTGACTTTGAGAGTACCATAGTTTATACGCGACTACTGTTGGTAAAAAATTATACTCGGTTTCACTATAATACAGCAAAACAAAACGCCACATATGGGAAGACACAACAGGTGTGAACGATTCTATTGCGTATGTACACTTAACATTATTGTACACACTCTGTCATTTGCACATTAAAAAAAATTGACCAGAACGAGTGGGGAATCGATGTAAGGGGAGAGCCACAAATTATAATGTGTACTCGTGACCGGTTTGCGGTATGTAGTAAACACTCGTACTCTGATCTCCCCGTTAGTTATTATTCGAATTTTAATGTGCAAAAAACGACAACAACCGTGTGTGTGTGTGTGGCGATTGAGGTCCATGCGGTGTCAAAACGTGCGCTAAACCATAGTATAAAAAATTCAATTGTTCTATTTTATACTGCTAAAAAATAACGTTTTCTCATTTTATTTACCGACGTAAAAAGTTTTCATTCAAAAATCACAACTGAAGACACCGGTGTAATAACCAGATACGTCCAAAAAAAATCCACTTTTATACAGAATTTTAAACGGCAAAATCTCTACTATGTATAAATGCAAAAAACACACATTTTATGATCGATAATTGAAAAAAGGAACTTAACTTTATTCTATGTTGTAATATAAGACACATTTTAAAAAGCTTATGCAGTAGAGAAAAAAAGTAAATTAAGTAAAAAAAGACATAAAATTAATTTTTAGAGATTGTATTTCTAAATCAAAATCTCAAATACGACTCCGTTGGCCACAAAAAATATAGACGTCATTTTGTTTAGAGTAATTAATGTTGTAACTACTAAAGTCAGAATTATTATAAGACTCTAGTTTTGTGGTATTAGTAGCTGAACGTATCAAATTACTTAAATATGATTACTATGGTATTCGTCGTAACATTTATAGAAAAACCGTGTATCACTTAATATTCAATTTGGTATGAAAATTTTTAGCAAAAATTTATATTCGAAATAAGCACTAAGTACGCTTATAATCAAGCGCGATGAATTTTTAATGTATATTCGAGATTCATTTTTGACACACCCGGCTTGGTCAATTTTTTTAATATAAGAGGATGTTACCAACAAATAATTATTAAAAAAAAGTTATTCAATTGGCAAAAACCAATTTTTTACTCTCCTATATTTTAAGCTTCGGAACGACTTTTGATGAACAGTATTTATTACAGTGTGGAGTATCATAATATTTCATGGCTAATAATGTCGCTCCTGACACGACTAGTACACATTTCATACCATAATACACTAAACTATAGTTACATATAAAC